TGGTTTTAATTATGGTTATTATAAAAATATCAAGTAAATTATACAAATGACTTTTTATAAAGCTATGTTAAATAATTATCTATCAAGCTATATCTGAGACTTCACAGCACACTCTCACTGGCCTAGGATGATGACATCACTAGCTCCGCCCCCTTTTGGACTCTGACCATTTGTACAATATTTTATGGTGAGTATTATTTCAGTGCAATTTCTTTGAAAATGGTTCAGTAATAACAATGGTAAAAAAAAAAAAAGGAATTAAAAAATATTTTGATATTTGCACCAAGTAAAGGGGACGAGGCAGGGCTTCGCTTGTAAGTTGCCAACTCGGATTTTAACCATGATGGAATGGTCTACCTCTACAAAGGAACCTTGAAGGCATTTTGCAACTTCTAGGGTATAATTTATTATCCCCACAAATCACGCTAAGCGTGTCTGAAGTATGTCCTGTGTGTGTATACAGTCTATCCAATACAGTAGACATTATAATCAATTCCACTTATTACAGACATATTTTTAGCATTCACTAACCCTCCCTCCCCTCTTGGATGATACAGACAAATGATTTGTTAGTGTTAGTGCCCATTAGTGGAAGGAATCAAAGAACCTACCAGGCAGATCTTCAAAATAGGAATGAAAAAATTAACCAGCAACATGTAATATAAACAGATATCCAAGCTACCTGAATTACAAACAAATAATTAAACCCTCCTCCTGTTTGTTCAAAGGTCTGAAGCTATAACTGAGACTCTGATTTGTATTATGTAATTTATACAACCCCTAGACTTAGTGTAATTCTGTGCAACTGATATGAACAACTAGTATGTTAATGCACTCCCATAGCGAATAATTGTAACATTTTGCTTTGACTTTTTAAAGATTTCCATGTATTAATTCAGAAACTTTGAGTTATAATTGGGAGAGAAAGTGATAAGGTAGGGAAGACTAAACCTAATAGACAAGAGACTGCAAGCTAGAGATGATCTCAAGTTGAGGACAAGGAGTTGAAGCTGGGTAACAATCACATAGGTATAGAAAAGACGAATGGATATACAGACTGCTGTGAATTTCTTCATTATAGACACAGGACTTTTCCATTATAGTCTGTTATAATAAGGATAGACTGTACGCACAACTGCTATCGATGTGTATATATGTATATATGATTATACATACATGAATCATTCTCATGTATTAGTGTATATATTTATATCATATACACACGACTTTTATTGCAAAATATAAATTTTACATCCCAAAATATTATTCTCCATCGTACATATGTCAGAATTTTCTACGTCCATGCTTAATTCCAGTAATATTTAAATACTAATGACTAAAAATATCATCCTAATGAATTATATTTCGAAACCTCTATGCTAATATGTTTTAATACATTTTTTTGGTCAGTAACATTAACAGTAAAAGCATGCATACACATATGCACATGTACACACACACATAAATTAACATTTTATTTGCTTCTTACTTATATACATAGTTTTCCATATTTTCATTGTACATGTTGTTTCTGATCATCCTGAAATGCTAAATCTCATTTACATTGTATAATAAAGTAATACCATTAAAATATTCATATACTTAATGGGAAACATAAAATGCATAGTACTTTACTGAATGACACTTTAATCTCTAGGAATTTCACATTTTTACCCACTTTTCAATGAACCCCTTGGATCCAGGTAACATGACCATTAGAGATTCTTCATTAGTTACACCAGTAAATGTGTGGAATGCACCATTCATGAGCCATGATTGGAAGAGGGAGTGTTTGTGGTTAATAGTTCCCAATAAAAGATTTCTTGAGTTATAGGGTGCTTATTTACTATGTCACTAATGAGTGCATACTCACATCAATATACATGAGCAACTCACCTTGGAAAGACTTGGCTTCCAGCAACTGTGCTTCAGTAGAGTCATGTTGAATTATGTGTATGTGTATGTGTGTCTGTGTGGGGGAGGGGTACCATCAAAACGGAGGCCTAATGGTTGACCCATTAGCACCAGGTACATGCACTGTCTAATATGGTTTTTGTTTCATTAATTTTGTTTACATATAGCAGACTTCACAAGCACTGGGTTACTAAAGAAATAATTACTTTCCATATCTGATCTTATCTGTTTACTTGATTCTTTGAATTCTGAGTAAAAAGAATTAACAGTTACTTTCTATTATTATGATTATCAGCTTCAATATCTTAGTAATAATAGCAGTAATGTTTAAAAAAATCTGAAAAATTTAGTGAAAGGGATAATCAGGTACAGTCAGACAGACCTAGGAATTGACACCTTGGTGACAATTCACTTGTGGAACCATCTAAACATGAACTCTTGAAATCTACCAGTTAACAGACTGGGAACCAATGCTTAATTTATATAAAGAGCTGAGAATATGATATATTTAATGGAAAAAATATAGATCTTTACAAAAAACAAAACAAAATAACATCATAACCATCATCAGCATTAATAGCAGTACTAGTAAAATTACTACAATCATCATTAATAATCATCCTATCAACTAAAGAATAAAAACACTAAAAGTTTATGCTTGTTTCTTTCACAACTTTTATTGTTTTATTATAAAAAATAACCAATAGGAATAAAGAAACAAAACATTTAGTAAAAAATATAGTTCTTTGCTCTTCATTCTATTTATCCAATGTTAGTCCATTGTGCATGATGCAAAACAGTTACATATTATTACACAGTGGTTTGACTTTCATTTGACATATTAAACATGCTATAAAACATTTCTGTATTTTCAAGGAGTGGTTTTCTACATATGCAGTCATAAGACAAAAGGCAATTACTGGGTGAGAGAGAGAGAGAGAGAGAGAGAGAGAGAGAGAGAGAGAGAGAGAGAGAGAGAGAGAGAGAGAGAGAGAGAGAGAGAGAGAGAGAGAGAGAGAGAGAGAGAGAGAGAGAGAGAGAGAGAGAGAGAGAGAGAGAGAGAGAGAGAGAGAGAGAGAGAGAGAGAGAGAGAGAGAGAGAGAGAATATGAAAGGAGAGAGAAGCCTATTATAAAGTGAGGTATTCAAAATTTCATACATCTGTCCATTTTGTTTCTTCTAGCCTTCATCTACATGGAAGGTAATATTTGGAAGCTTCATATTGTCTCACTGGATGACTTCATACACAAAGATTAACAACAAAATCATCTGAATTCTTTGGATGTACTGGGACTGCCATCCTACCTGGCTATGTCCAAAATAAAAGAAAGAAAAAAAATACTTTAAACATTCTCAATACTAAAATCCATATCACAAACCTCCAGTTAAAAATATTTCCTAAAATACCCTATATGCCTAAGTGGAAATGGTTCATACAAGCTTTACAGGTATCTTCTTTTTTTAACACCTAGATAATTTTCACTAGCTAATATTGACTATTATTACAAATATAGAAAATAAAATAATATAAATACAGTATAAAAACTGACATACTATTCACAGATCAACTTTTGAACTCATCACAGGGATATTCTGCATCTCAGTCCTCATACACAGATATTCTCCAAGAACGCACATTAGCGTTATGGTAACAAGATGAAGGAGCCACACGGAAGGCTGAGAAGGAAGATGTCCATTATAAAGCCAACAGCACAACATGTGTAGAAAATGGGCTGTTATTGTGAAATCAAGACACTGCTTTGTTCTTTGAACGATTTTCCAAAGTCCTAAGGATCTGAAAAATAAATAACTGGATTAGAAACTTTATACAAATCCAACAATGTTCAGAAATATATATGTCTGTGATGGATAAAATGAATCTAAAATACTGGATATTGTAAAGAAAAAGATGTGATTTGATGGGTAACATTTTTGGTGAATGCCGAGGCTGGGGTGCATTAACAAACACCACACCGCACCTGTGTTATCATCTGGCTTACAGCTGGCATACACAGTGTCAGCAATGATGTGCTTAGGTATCATCCAATATACAGTAATATTTTGCCATGATATGATGGGACATTATTCGGCATCAACACCTTATGCAAAGAGCAAAGAAATCAGGCGCATTCATTAGAGCTTATCAATTGGCTCCTTGGTGGCTGAATCCTTCTGGAGCTACATGCATACAACAAAATTCACTAAAAACGACAGTGAACAGTCCAATTACCTGCAGTCATTGGGTTGGAGGGGTGACCTAACTGAAGACAATTTTTTCTTAATTTCTGATCTAGTACTTTACAACACACCCACCATCCATTACTTCCTTTAGATCTCAAACCTCCCCCCCCCCCAATATAAAATAGATTTAAAGTTTTAACCTATTGGCAATGGGTTGATATATGTGTACAAGTCATACCCACTGTGACTTTACTTTATTGTCTTTAGACAATGATTACTAGTGCTGTACTTGCTAGCTCACTTCTTTATCCTTTTCCTTGATTTTTGTAAATATATTTTTCAAATCTTGTATTGCTAATAGTTATGTTAATAAAAACATGATAATTATAATGTCAATAAACATAATAAGAGAAGAACATCAAAAGCATTCGGAAAAAATCCAGAAAACTCAATGAAAGGGAAAACCAGGTGAGGTCATGATGTCTACTAACCGACTCATTTGTGGCTAAGCAACTGTAATCATTACATTTTCCTGGTTGCATGATGGTAAGCAAAAATGTGGAAAAATTATTTTCTCATGAAACTTGAGGTGATTTGGGTGTATTTTCTAAAAAAAAAAAGAAAAAAAATCATACAGAGGAAAGCTGTGGCAAATGAACCAGCCTTGTCACAGATGTGGAAACATAATGAGGTATAATGCATCTGGTTTAATGAAAAATGGAAGGAAAGCCTATAGGTTTATGTTTGGGGAAATAAGCCATTGAAGATTCTGAGCACCTGCCATACACCAAAAACAGAGCAGAGTAAAATGAATTTCAGACCGTAATCTTCAGTGATATAACAACTTTGTATTAATAAGGTATCAAAAAAATGATGCAAGATCAAAATATATACCAACTTATAACTATAAAGGTACTTTCAGAAAACCCAAAGTTTTGGGTTACTATGTCAAGGGTAGCACTTATGATTATAGTTTAGGAATCATTCAAAACCTTAATCCAGTGACACTTGGCTGAAAATTTGTTGCTCATAAGAGCTGTCCATCTTTTCTACATGGTTCCACAAGTGCTTAGCCACCACAAAGTCAATTACTTAACCACTAACTGATTTTAAGCAATAGCACCTAAAGTGAAGTTAAACCTTCAAAATTAAAATATTTTTATAAATTATAGCAAAATAATAGCTTTTAGGTGCCAAATGTCGCTCGCAAACTACCAAACGAGCCGGGTGCAAACAAGGGAAACTGTCGATGCGCACCAACAATCCTGTTATTACGTCCACTTGAAAAACTTTTTTACCTGGCGGCATTGGGTTAACCTCACCTGATTTCATCTTTCCTTGTGCTTTCAGGAAATTATTTTTTAATAACACTAACTGTATCAAAGTTGATATTACTATTATAAACATTTAAATTCATATAATCTTATCAACATTACTGAAACCAATCTAATGTAATAAAAGAAAATCAAGGACAATGGTAAACAAGTGAAATAGCTAGTACTGGAAACTACTTGAAGAGCCAGCTATGTGTAAAGACAATTTATGTCAAAATCTCATAGTGGGCTAACTCGAAAAGGTTGCACAAACATCAGGATATTTTTTAAATTTCATTCTGACTTCTGCAAGGATTGTAAACTGCAAAGAGAAAGGTAAAGGTACTTTCGGAAAACCCAAAGTTTTGGGTTACTATGTCAAGGGTAGCACTCATGATTATAGTTTAGGAATCATTCAAGAGTTTTAATAATATGATAATGATGCTGACACATAGAGACAAAGAGAAAGACAGTGAGAGAGAAAGAGAAGAAAAGCCAGGAGCTAAAAGACTGACACACAGGTAAATGCAAATAACAGAAAAAGAGAAGAGAGTAAGAGAGTACAATTACTCACCCAGTCAGTGCATTGAGAATAAATGCAGCCATTACCGCTCTACCATGTACCTCTTTTATTTGGATCTCCTGTAAATTTGAAATTATAATTAATTCAACAATAACCTTACTGCTGAAAGTTAACATACTTTCAAGCTATCAAAAATAATGTTTAGTAAATGATTAAAATTATGTATAAAAGATAAGTAAACTCAAGGTGTATTTACGATTTCCCTATTCATATATTAATCCAATGAAATTAAATAGCTCGTTCGTCAAACATTTTCTTTTTTTAATTCATCTTTACTATAAGAAAATCCAACACATTTACATACTTTTAAAGCTTTTTACTGTAATCAAACCATTCAAAATATGAAGATTTATTAAAAAACATATGAAAAGTCATAAAAAGGCATAAAAAAAGTACCTCAACCATACACAATTACAATGTTAACATTACTTGCTAATATCATAACAGCATTGACTGTACCTGGTATTTGAAGATACTATCAAGTGATCTGTGATGTCCAGTGAAGACATCCATAAAGGCAATCCATATACCAAGACCAATGTAATAAACTGCCTGAAAAAATAAGTGAGAATTTAGACTACAGTAAGGTTTCACTGATGCTGTTAAGCATGGAAATGCAACTATGAAATCCTGCTAAAGTGAAGTATGCAACACATCCAAGGAGTTGAGAAAATAACAATTAATGTTGGGAAAGGCAGCTAGACACTGAAACGCCAAAGAAAACAAGAAAATGGTGATTGGATTTGGGTGGATATTCTTGTTTCATGTATGTAAGTCTCTGCAACCCTATATTGCATGTTAGACATGAAATGTGGATAACCATCACAGTCCCACACCCTTAGTAACACATCAACTCAAAAGCAAAGTTGTTCATGTTCATATATTGTATATTGAAGGAACAGGGGTGACATGGTTTAACCTGAAACAACAGGGGATTGAGGACGGCAAGCACCACAAGGTCATGGTGCATTAGCTCTATGACTACAAATTCTATCATTTTCATTGAACATCATTAATTATTACAGGATGTTAAAATCTCGCAGAAATTCAAAGTTTTGGCACAAGGAGCCTATTTCTATATGGAGGGACATGTATTTCAGATATTCCAGATACTGAAATACCCTGATGAGGCAGAGTGAGGTCTGTTCTACCCATTGATTGGACGGATGGGACATGTACCCCTGAGCTGATTAGTGCCTTTACCTCACTACAACCCTGAGTTTGGTCCTCCTGCTACTTCCTCTACTGTATTTCCATGGGAAGAATTGCCTGTTACAAATTCTTTGAATTTTAGTCTGGAAACCTGACACTAAATGCCTCAATAGTTGGGCAATGTGAGGCAAGAATTGTCTCAAAAACAATACCCAAGAGGCTTCAGCTGGGAGTGCCACCTCTGATGTGCTCATATTTTGCAGTATTTCTGACTTGTTTTCTTTCATATGGACAAGTAATAAAGCTAGCATTAAACCTACTCAGTAATTCATAATGTCATTACAGAAGGAAAAACAGTAGTTTCATATGGATATTTTCATAAGAGGAAAAGCTATAACCTTGGCTGCTTTACCTGCATTGTGATGATTTGTGAAATAATCAATGGAGGATCCCAAATCTTATATCGAAACCCTCCAGCCATCTTTAACTGAAAAAAAAATTAAAGATTAATGTTTGGGTGTCTTAATCCAAAGGTGTTAAGACAAGAAACATTCTAGCTATTTGACCTAAGAGTAATTGGGGCTCTTACTTTGATGATGATCTTTGGTGTCCCAATAGTTCCAATGGAAAATTACCTAATAGAAAAAATGCACTCTTCTGTAAGAAAAGTACAGATAATTTGAAAAACCTACACACCAAAAATTGCCTTAACGATTTGGAAAGCTCAAAAATGAGGTTCTAGGAGTTATCAGGAAAAGTAACCAAATGACAAGAAATATTTTGGCCAATGCATAATTTTTTTTCCATAACAATTAAAACCTGCTTGGGAATATCTGTATTGCAAATAGAACATTTAGGTGATACGATATCTCAAACTTAGATTGCCATTACTCAAAACATTATTTTTGTAACTCTGCCCCTTACCTCTGAATGCCTCATATACCTTTAAGAAAAACTATTCTCTGAAGGATCAAAATCAATGATCATGACCACCATTATCATTATAATTATCACTAACATTATTAGTATTATCATTATCATTAACATTATCCATGATCATTATTATCATATTTTTTTATCACTACCATTATCTTCATTACCATTATCATCATTATCGTTCTTACAATTACCATGATTATTTTTTTAACCTTATCATCATTATCAATATTATCACTATCTTTACTATCATTGTTATTATCATCATTACCATTATCAGTATTATTATCATTACTACCATTATCATCATTACCATTCTTACCACATAATGTATTATAATACGCTATCGCTTATATAAGTTATCAGTTTTATGTACCATTAATTTTACATTTTTTTCTAAAAATGTATCATGTATGATTATATAATCATTTGATAAAGTTTATCAAACAAGTGCAGCCACTTATGAAATGGCAGAAATAACAAGAAAATCTTTTAAAATTCTAAAATGTTATTAAGATGATACCAAAGTTAATTCCACAGGAAACCTGAGCTTCAAAAATGATGACCAACACTTTGACAGATTTATTTCCTTAGTTTAGGTTTATCCCACTAAAGCATTTGACTGAAATTCACAGATTTCCTAAACACATCTCCATCAGCAATGCCATGGTTTCTAAACTTTGTGTTCCAACATCAGACAAAAGCCCAACAAACTTCAAACACATACATTCAGCAAAATAAAGCTTAAACTGATTCTGTATTTGACTATATTTTGCCAAAGGTCTTGTGTATAGGCTCAATCTTGCCAGCATACACAGGGTATAGTTTTTGTTTCTTTCTAGCATTTAAAAAATGGTGACCTTCCACACCTGTTCATGTTATTGAAGGGACCAACTAGTTTTCATCACATTTACTTTAAAGATAGACCTCTTTGGTGGTTTATTGTTAAAAAAGACATGAAGTAACACTTATTGTATGCCATCCATCATAAGAGCAAGTGGTTAATGTTACTGAGAGATAGAGAGAAATAACAAACATATAGATAAACATATTGATAACAAACAGATAGAGAGAAATGGACACTGCCACCTTATAGAGCATAACAGAGTCATAAAGAAGACAGGTAGAGCTACTGTGGCCTCACATTTACCATGAAATGACAAAATATCTACTGCATAACACCGCTGAGACCAAGTCCACAGCACCCTCATACAGCCAGAGTTCTTAATGTTGCATCTTCTATAAGTTGGCACAAAGTACTAACAAAGGGGGTGCTTGCCCCCCTGTCTAGGGAATTTCAAAATCAATAACATGTACCAGTACTATAAAGAAAAAGAGGGGAAATATTTGAAACAGATTGATGAAACGGAGCCGTGGCTAATTATAAAACCATAGTCTGGAAATATTTCAGCAAGACTAATATACTCAAAGTATTCCTTTCCCTTTGAAAACTTTTAAGCAATCTAATATTTTGTCGACTTTAGTTTGCTTTAGGAAGAATGTTGTCCACACTACCATAAATCATATTTACATAGTGAAGAAGCTATACCAGGACTATTCTTAATTTCCAATGGTGATTTTCTACAAAATATGATAGCCATTCCAATTTCTTGTGATAATATTTGAGTCACTGGACTTGATTTTCTCTAAAATCTGGATTTAAACTAGGCTTTAGTAATTTTAACCCTAACAAAAAGAAAACACATCATAAAGCGTACCTTCTATCCATTCTTACTAATGCTAAATAAGTGAATGAATCTATAAAAAATGGCTAGAATTCTGTAAATACCTAATAATTTATTTGACAAGTCTTTACTTCGCTTTCCATTTTCTTTTCCACAGGAAGCAGATGGTTGAAGCTCCATAGCATCTATATTCGCATAATAAACGGGGTTTGCTCTACTATGATTGTAATTGTAAAC